TGAAGACAGGCTGAAAGAGTTGGGGTTGTTCCACCTGGAAAAGAGAAGGCTCCGGGGTGATCTTATAGCAGCCTTCCAATACATGAAGGGGGCCTACAAGAAAGCTGGGGAAGGACTTTTCCTAAGGACAACTAATGACAAAACAAGGGGAAATGGGTTTAAACTGAAGGAAGGGAGGTTTAGATTAGATATTAGGAAGAAGTTCTTCACTGTGAGGGTGGTCAGACACTGGAACAGGTTGCCCGGAGAAGCTGTGGATGCCCCCTCCCTGGAAGTGTTCAAGGCCAGGCTGGATGAGGCTTTGAGCAACCTGATCTAGTGGAAGGTGTCCCTGCTGATGGCAGGGGGATTGGAGGATTGGAACTAGATGATCTTTAAGGTCCCTTCCAATCCAAACCATTCTATGATTCTATGATTCAAAGACCAGCTGCTTTGGTTGCCAATATGATTTTTAAGGACTAGTTTAATCCAAGTTGCAGGAGGTATGAGACAGTCATCCCCTCTAAGAGGGGGTGTCCAGAAGTAAATTCTAGAAGTATCTTTTCTGCTTCCCTAGGATTGCAGTTTGAAATAATTAAGAACCCATCTGCATTTTTCATCCTGTCCATAGCTTCATTAAGCATCCCTTTCCCACCATATTTTTACTGCCACAAACAGACTAGGCCAAATGAAAATAGTTAGAGCTTTCACACATTTCAACACTCAGATACTTTAGTTGAGCATCCTTGTAAGGAATAGAAAGACAGGCACAATATTTTTAGTACGTAGACTTGAATGAGAACATGTAGATTCTATACAACTTTATACATCTGACAGGGGAATCTCCCTGAAACCCGACAGGAGGAAAGCTGGAACAAATAAGCTTTTCTCCTCCATTCACCTGCATACATTGTTGGCAGTAATAAAACAATGGTATTGTCAGCTGCACCACCACTTTGTCATGAATATTTATTAATACCAGATGTCTATTTCCTGCATCCTCAACCTTGATTGAGTCCCCTTCCTTCCTCCCTGCCAGTGGAAAATACTGTAAAGGGTAGTAGCAAGTCCAGCATGTGTGGAGGTTGAGAAGAGTAGAGGAAATGAGTCACCTGTCCACCAAATGAGATGTTCTTTCAGTTACTTACAAATAGCAGTTTTCACTTAATAGCATATTTGAGAAGACAATCCACTTTCTAGCTCCCTCTAACAGAAAAACAGGATATATTCATATTCTTTTCATCTTAATTTCAAGCATTAAATAGAAGGTAGAAACCTGCCAACAATACCAACACTATTGGCAACATACAGCTGAAACTGCCTAAGATCAATAGTACAGCTGTCACTGGAATTACCATTCCTTCTAATCAAAGAAGTCTGTCTTCTATGCTTATGTGCATTAGTGCATATTTGAACACACCCTATAACATGACTTGCTAGCTAATGCTTCAGAGGCAGTTCATCATTCTTCAAACATTTAGTTTATTTGCTTTTGGATTGGGCCTGATTATGTTTTTCCAATAAGTTCTGAGACATCACAGCTGTTCCAAGTTAACCATATTATTTAGATTGTATTAAAATTGTCTATTATTTAGACAATCCTTCAATTATTGCATGCAGATCCAGAAAAGAAGCCAAATCTTGTCTTCCCACTTGTATTATAAGCCAATTATTTGCAGCTATGAAGTTTCATAGTATCACTGAAGTTCTGAAGAGAGATCATCATGCTGAAAATGTTAGGAGCATCACATACAGCATACAGTGTGTTTAAGGCAACAGCTCAACACATGGCAGAAAACAGTTCTTAATCATTACACTTGTATTTGAGGAAAAACGACAGGGCAAGGAAGGCTGACTCTTAAAAACTTTTATGGGGGCAACCAAAACTAACTCCTACAATTATGGTCTAAACAAAGGTAGTAGCAACGTAGATCTTTTCAGGCCTATGGTGGATATGAACTGATGCACAGCAACTGAGCCTGCCGTGCACATTCTTTCTGCATCAGTTCATAGAACTTATTTCAAGACTGTTTAAGCACAGTCCATTGGTCCCTCTACTGCAAAAGTCTCCTCCTTTAAAGTGTTCCAGCAGCAAGGATCGTAGCCATTCCAGTGACCATGTTGTCTCACTAAGCTAAGACTCTAAGCAGTCTCAAGCCTGTTCTGCACTTCTCCTGTCCTGGGAATCCACCTACTACAATGCAGCATGGACAGCCACTAGAACAGAACAGATAGATTTAATAATATCATTCAGCCTTGAAGTTTCAGACAATGTGAGGAAAACAGCCTGCAGAAATAAGTAAAGCCACATCAGCCTCTGAAAAGAGAAAAGAAAAATTAAAAAAAAAATAAAAATCTTTGACCTAGGACATGATCTTACCTCTTCTCGGCTGATGTCCATGTTCCAAACAGCAATCACTCCATCAGCTGAACAAGATACCAGCTGCCGTGTCAGCTGGATGTAACAGATAGCCTGCACCTTGTCACTGCAAACAAAGTAGACACTATTTACCCATAGGTACTTAAACAAAGCTTAGTTTCCCAGCAAACCCAAATTTATCCTTGTAAAGCTACCTAGGAAGCAAAACTGATTTCCAAACACTTCGCTAAGTCTACTAAGTAGAGCTATGAAGATGAGTGAACAGATGCTTTCACCTAAGCACTACCCTAGCATCAGGATGTTGCCTAGAACAGTGTTCTTACAGGCTTGACCAGAATACCACGTTAACATTTGCTGGCAGTAAGCACTGGCAGTGACCTGAGTGTCAACTAGCTCAGAGTGTGTGTGCAAATACTCTTCTCTGTTGGCAAGGAGAGACAGTTATCAAAACAAAGACAACTAGAAAAATACAGAGAAATATCTGTTTCAAGATATAGCTAGGAAGCAGATGGAGCTTCCAGTTTTGCTACCAAATCACAAAAAGTAAGTCTGCAGCTGCAAAACAAAGTATGCATTCACCAGTAAGACAGTTTAATCCTAAATAAAGTCATGGCAAAATAAAAAGTCTACCCTAAGAAACTAAACAAAGGATCTCAATAGTATTAAGACTGCTTTGCAACATCTAAGTTGAATTTGAAAATCCATTCTGCTTCTCAGAAGAACTTACTTTCCCATTCAGTATGAAGTTTGACGCTAAGTGTGATGTTTGAAGAGAAACTAAGTGTTATAAGTCTTCACCAGGACACATGATGCAGCAGTAACAGCAGTATAAAGTCCTCCAGTCACTGAACTTCAGTTACTTTTTTGTAACCAGTACTCTATTATTAGTTCTTTAGCCATAAAACTAAATCCTCGAGATATAACAAGAGTTCTAGGGCTAAGGCTATCAGTCTTGATCAAAGGTGGATGAAGGCATCTACGGAATTAGACAAGAGGAGAATGCACTATACAAATACATCTTCATATAAAAAAGATCTCTACTACCACTGCATTTCTAAGTAGAATATATCTTCAGTGGTGAACTGCCTGTCAGATTGAATTAAGGTCCCAGATTTTAAAATGGCAGCTAGTGTTGTGTCTCTGTAAAAATAAAGAGTTGATTAAATACAGACAACTACCTAATCCACAGAACAGTGGAGATGTGGCATGCTTTTCTGAAGTCAAGATACCACCTCTGTAATTTATCCAATCAGTTTATCACCTCACCGATAGAAAGAGACAGAGAACAAGAACATATTGAAGCTTATTCTACATGACTACCTAAACATGCTTATACATTAAGTTTCTAGCCCCACCCTCACAGGCAACTCAGTAAGCTATTTACAGTACAGAAGCATGCAACTTTTACATAAAGTCTAAGCAAGATCATTTAGGATTTTTACCCACCTCTTTCTATAACCTGCTTTTATGTTATGTTCTCATTACCCATGGTTTAGAAGTATCAAATATAAGCAAAAAAAATATGAGCATTTATCAGTAATGCTTTCCTAGTACTGATTATTCTTCTTCCCCCTCAAAGTCCTCAGAGTTCTATAAAAAGTTATTTTCTTCATTATTCACAAAGATTCAAATATCTTGCCATGCTATTTAGTCTTCCTGGGAATCTGTGTTCATTACAGAACATGTAGAAAAATAAGACACCATTACATACTGATGTCCCTGGAGCAGCAGTGTTCGCCCCTTCCTTCCACCAATATCCCACATGATAATGCTGTGATCAGAGGCACCTGAGAAGAGCAGTCGTTGAACAGGATCCCACCACAGAGAAGTAATACTTCCTAGGAAAGAACAATCTGCAGTTAGATCTAAGGGAGTTACTCCCCATATTAATGATGTTCTTCTGGGTCATTAAAGTGAAAACTGAGGTACTCTCTCACTACAGTAAGATATTGAAAGCCTTAAGGCAAAGGACAGCATGGAACAGCAAGATACAGTCCTGCTAAAGAGGCAAAGAGCATTTGAAAAGAGAACAAAATGTCACTAAGAAGAAAGTTAGATGTAAAGCATAAGCCAGAAAGTTCGAGTTACTAGTTTTCTGCCCCTTGTATTTAGGTAGTTGGTTTTAAGAGTCAACAGGCTGCTACGCAGTCTTTGGAAGATGCGAAGTATTAAAACTTCTCAAGCAGAGACTAGTATCTGCAATACAGTAAGGTGCTTGGTCAGTGGTTGCAGGACAGCATGCAGTGTTCACAGGTAAATCAACTCCCTTATGTAACCACTTACAACCTCAAAATAGTTGGAATAAGAAACTAAGTGACAGTTTCACTGCTGTTAGAAAGTCTGGTGACTAGGTACTAAGTTACAAAACTAGATCTCAGAAGGCCCAGCCTGGCTGTGCAACTCCTTAGTCAGACACAGAAAGAAATGAGTCATCTGAAAGTAGCAGTTTTATACTAAACCCATATGCATGGTAATGTAGACAGGAGACTAAAGAAGTCATTTTGTCACTCATGCCACCTACAGTTTTGAAGTTGCAGGAACATTTTATTGCCTTACAGACATCTCTATCTTTCCCTTTAAAGCATCCTTCCATTGTTCATTGGCATCAAAAACCTTTGTAGTCTGAAAGCAAGATGAATGGTAATTACAGCCCAGATCAGTCCTTTCCATCTCTCCAGAGCAAGAGATTTTTCTTGCCTCCTTTAGGGCTACACTGCTTTCAAACTGACCCATTTGGGTATCTGCACCATAAGAGGCAGTTTGAACATTATCTCAGCATTACACAGAGTAGGCTGTTAAATATGGAGAATTCTGGAAGTTGACTATGGAAGGACAAGCTCTAAAACTATTTAAACTGAAAAGCAAACACTACTTCCTTATGAAGACACAGTAAGGCAAGAGCTAGAAAGGAAACAAGATGAAGTCAGACTTTTGAAGTCTGACAAACACAGCTGTACTTAGAGAAGAACTAGGTGTCATTTAAGTTTAGATTTACAAGGCCTTGAGAATACTAAACAAATACTATGGAGGTAAAAAAGGTAACAGTCTGTTTTGCTTTGGTTTTGTTTAGTTTGTTTGTTTTGTTTTTTAAAAATGGAAAATAAGATGAAGTAGCTACTATTACACCAACTGAGAAAAACCTTGCCTCTCAAATTTAATCACCTTTTATACTAGATCAGTTCTTGTTTTGAGATCTCAATCCCCTTCAGGAACTTATATATAAGCCAAAGTTGTCTGCTATGCAGACAGCACTGCTTAAGTTGGTGCTTGGAAGCCCACCGCAAGTCAACAGACAGAATATGCACTATATGTAGTGCCATGTCGAGACATGCTGCTTGCAGACTAACAACAGTATCTATCAGGGAGTTGCATTTGAACACAGCCTAGTGCAAAAGCATAGAGTGGTAAAGGAAACTGTAGGGACAGGAGAATTATTTTGCTCTTAACTTAAACAATCTGAAATTCTGCTTAAAAGCAGAAGAGGCATTTATCATTTGAAATTCTCAACTTGCCTCCTGCATTCAACACCAGCTTTATCACTTTACAGCCATCTGTAAATCAGAAGTCTATCCAGCTTTAACAAAGTCTGCTCTATACTTACAGCTATTAAACAATGCAGCCTTTTCCAATGGGTCAGAGACTCATGACCCAGTAATTCACCCCTACCAAAATGCAAACTAGCCAGCTGATTTGGAAGTTACCAGTAGCACAGAGGAAGAGGCATTAAGTCTTGTTTATTTCTCTCGGTGTATTATTAAATTACAGGTTCTTCTGTGATTTGCATTCTTGCCTTACTCATTACAGCAGACAGTGGCTCCATATCATGTTACAGACTATTTGGTTCTTCATTTGATATAAGGACTTCACCTATACTACACAGCATGAGACACTTGTCTTTGGCTAGACAGTTTTGATTCTAAAAGGCTCTTTAGATTTCTTGCATATAGCTTAATTTCAGCTAAACAGAGGAAAGTGAACTAGAGCCTCAAAGGCTGACCACAACAGCAAAGTCTGCGTTGGGAAGAATTAAGTGACATTTTAGAATCTAGATTGGGAGTTGCTAAAGCTGCTTTAGGTATTGTTATAGTACTACAAGGTCTCTAAAAAACCAAAAACAAAACAAAACCCCAACACATTCTCATCCTTTTTTTTCAATGTTAAGGAGACTGAAGTTTTTAAAGGTGGCCATCTAGTGGATAACTTGTGTTTAACTGAATGCATAAATTTACCTTTATTTTTCATCTATAATAAAAATACCTGTCAGGATTTACAAGGCTGATGTCCCCTCAGCAAGAATGTGTCTGTTCTTTAAGACATACGGTTTTGAACAGCTTTTGATAACTACTACCCTGCACTAGTTGTTTATCCAAAACCTATCCTTCAGAGGTAGACATCCAACTGAATGTCTCATCCTGATTTACAAAGAGGTACTATAATCTGGATCAAGTGGAATTAAGAGGAAGAGTTACTTTACCTTCATGCCCTTTGAGTGTTGTAATAACTGAGCATGTATTCTGCTCAAGCTTCAGGAGAGTGATCTGTCCAGAATAATCACCAACAAATGCATGCTGAGTTTCATGATCGTATCTGAACACCAGTCAAGGATAGGCCTCATTTGCTCTTAAGAGTATTTTACAGGACTGAGACAGCATAGCTGTCAGCTACAGAGTCTAAACAAATTGGAAAAGAACATTTTAATATGTCAGATAAATATTTACATAACTACTTCTAAAGGGGTTGGAATCATAATAGTTAAACCTTTTCCATTCCTCTCTTCTCCTCACACTTCCCCACATGTGCAAGTAGGACAGTATGGAAAATAAGTGAGAAAAGTCTTAGAAAGCCACTGGAGAAGTCATGAGACAATCCATCCCCTAGTTTAAAGCTGTTGACCCTCCACAGCTAGTTTACCTTACAATGGAAGTATACTCCCAGTGTTCTAGCTACTGAGAAGATGAGAGCATCTAATTTCTTGTTCTGTTCTCTGCACCTTCAAGTTTACTGATGCCTGTCCTTGAGCACAATATTGAAGACTTAACTGTATTCAGAAGGGTTCTATCATTTAACACTGACATAAAAGCCACACCACATCCTAACATGGGATCTGTTAACAAGGTGGCATGTTTGGCAAATGCATTCTGCATCAAAACAGTTTTCTGATGTTCATTATTTGTCACTATGTAACTACTGTCTTCAGACACCAAAGCATAGCAAGCTGCATGGAACTAGATCATTTGCCACCTTTAGAAGACTTTTGCTATTCAGGATATAAGCAAGAGCTATGAGAAACCCATACAGCTGGCACTGCATAACCCAAGAGTTGTGTGTAAACTCACCTGCCCTCCTGGAGCCACACAAAAACATGAGCAGTAGCTAGCAAGGTAGCCGATTCTATGCAACAGAAAAGACTGACTTCAAAAAGTCAGTGTACCAAAAAGCCCACCACCGTAAGTGAAAAAGCAGAGGTTTTCCCATCTGATGATATTCTGAAATCTCTTAAGCCTTCAGAATCTTGAGATAAACAATTTGCCTTCTACAAATCCACTAAGCCCCCAGAAGTCCTTTCTTCATCTTGGAAGTTCAAGCTAGCATTATCCCCACTAATCCAATAAAGCATAGGCACTCTGTTGTGTTTTTCAGAAGCTTACACATAGGATCATTAACAACCAACTCCTAAGAAACCTCCTGATACGGAGACCAAACACCTAGTACACACACCAGAAAGCTAGTTCTTCCAAACACAAGTTCAAAGGCAGGATCATTTACAATGCATTTTCAAATGCCACAGTCTTCACTGGAAATTTATTTTTATCTTGATAAAAAAGGTCATATTCTTTCCTCCAATTTCATAATAAACTGTTCCATTATTTGCAATAGCCTTAGCTATAGAACCCACTGAATTCAAATAGCAGGGCTCAGAGGCACCAGACTGTTCTGTGAACTAGTCTCCAAACAGACATCCCCTCCATTATTAACCCAGTTCTGTGCTGCAGTCAGCTAAAGCAAGCTGTACATGAAATGTTTTGTGAGACACAACACCCTGAATTCTAAAACAAGGACAGCAAAAAAGAGCAACAGTACAACAATACAAACCTACCAGCTCTTCAGTCAGTAAGGCAAGGTCTGTATAGACAGGAGACCTCAGAAGGTTAGACATGCTCCTGGAGACCAAGTAGTTAGCCTTTCCTCCTCATTTCTTAGCACTATACAGGTATATAGCAATTCTAGAGAGGTCTTTATTTTTTCAAGAGATGTAGTTGACCTCTTTCAGCTTTTGAATCATGCCATTTCTACAACATTACTGCCATTAACCCTCATATGCTAACCAACACCTGCAATTACTGTCCAGCCACATGTAAGTATGACTGTTAACAAGTGCTAAAAAAGTATCAGAATTTAAAGTATTTAACTCATGCTCAACAACTTTGACAGATGAGCTACATTTTAAGCTACTGGGTTTGTAAGTCTTTTACATAGGATAAAGAATGCCCTGAAGTACTTACAGCTGAATAGACAACTGGAGTTCTTAAGCTACAAATGTCACCGTTTAAAGCAATTTGCAGGTAAGCAAACTTCACACAGACAAATTACTACTAGTAATGAATAGTTTCAATATACCCTGTATGTAGCTTAAAGATAGAAAAGATTAACATGAGCAAAGACAGAAAAATTAAAGCTGTCCAATCGGTTTTCCTGATGTTTTATGCTCTAGAAGGACTCAAATGCACACTGGCATCTGGTGAACAAAGTGACTTGCCTAGGAAGTATACAGGCCAGGCTATACACACAGTTACTAGCCACTTCCCCAAGATCCTACAGACAAACATCTCAAAATGAGGAACTGGTACACACTGTGATTTCTGTAACTCAAGGTCACGAGATCCCTTTCTATTACCTAACAACAGCTAACAAATAAAGTTATTAAACATCTAATCAAAATAAGGGTTTGCAGACTTGCAAGAGATTTCACTCCAGCTTTTAACATGAAAAGAAGGGAACAAATTCAGCTAAAGGAACAAAGTACTCTTCCCGTTTCAGAGTAGCAAAAATTTTTCAGAGGATACTGTAGACACGAAGCCCAAGAGGTGAAGTAATGTCTCCCCAGCATACTCCCACTCCTGGTGCACATCCAGCTGATACACTTGTCGTGACCAGTGCTGATAACCCACTCTGATGTCAGGCAGAAAGTAATAGCAGACACTCGATTCTGATGAGCTGTGGGAAGAAAAAGATTCTGGCTAGTTTTTCCTAAAAATCAAAGTGATGTGTTCTTATGTTCTAATTCAGAGAGACATAGGTTGAAGATGGTATCTAAGCAATGTCCCAGGGAGACACTTTACCTTCATATTATACTTGCCTCCAGACTGAATTAAAAGGTTAGCATTGTTCTATTTGGTATTTGCCTTCTGAAAAGCTTAAGTGAACCAAATAATTAATTTAGCTAATTTAAGCCTTTCTCCCACAGACAGAAAAGCTGTGTTCCACCCCAGATACCCAAGATGCTCTGGTTAAGAGGCATGCAAATTCTCAGCTTCCTCTAGTTAGGGCAGGACTTCTGGGGAGTAAAATAACAAATATAAAAACCTTAACTGCTTTCTTTAAGTGTCTCTTCCTGACCCCAGAGGAGCTATGCTCAGATTCATGCTTTTAAGCATCTGAAAGTATATCTAGTCCATGGTATTCAAACCTCTACCTGTGACAGCAACCAAATCCTACCCAGCTTTGTTTAGAATGCTGCCACTAAGAAGTTACATAAGCATTAGAAAGAAGCCTCCACTTGCCCCCCAAGAAGCAAGTACTCCCCTTGACTGGGTTGCCAAGTCATCTTCCTTAGGATAAAGGGGGATTTGTTGCTTTAAGAACAAGGTCTTTTTCTCCTAAGCAAGAACTTTGCTTCTATCAGTGTCAGGGAGTCATAAGACAAACTGCACTTTGTTTCGCTACGCGATCTGCAGTCTTTAAGAGTCTCCTTCAGGCCTTTCACATTATTATTCCAATTTTAACCAGCAAGCGAGTTTTATATTTCTTCTAAGGATGCCCAGACAATTGCTGAAATTAGCATCTCCACAAATATTAGAACAATCCCTATTCCCCATATACTGGTAAAGTAAGATCTTTTTCATCCCTATTGCTCTCCTAAAATGACAGAGAAGGCAAGGTCTCTTATCTTCAGCTAGGCAACCAAGCCCAGTGATTACAGAAGAAAGAATGGAAAATGTAAATATCAAAATGCACCTTTAGAAAGCTCTTACCCTAACATTCATGCAGTATAACTACTCTACTTGAAGAGCAAAATCTGAACTCACTAGTTCTGGCTCATTACACTAGCAGGCTAATGATGTATTGAACTTAATGACTGAAACTCAAACTCAGTTGACTGATAATTACTCAATAACAGAACATTTATCTTACAGCAGTTATCCCCAACTAAGTGGCAACCAGAAGGTCAGTCAGACTAAAAGCATATTTTGACTTAATTCATCTGTGATGGTGTCTGGTTTCCCAACCATTTTAGATGCTTGCCCCTCACACAAATGTTAGTGTAGACGCTGGTTAACAGTTTACCTGGATAGGTCTTCACAAAGTTCATCTTATTAAAGTCCTCTGAAATATGAAACTCCTAAAAGCAAAGTGGAACCATTAGAAAAGACACTGCCACGACATAAACAATATTGATACTCAAAAAAGAGCAGCAACTTCACAAGCCAAAATTTGCATAGCAGCAATATCTCACTAAAACCTAGCAGTTTCTCAGGTTGGAGCATGGCACACTGACATATTAAGTGTAAATTCAGGTTATTGGTGAACTACATTTTCAACAGGAAGCATCCTTCAGAACCCAGTTTGCTGAATGGAGATCACAGGAAGAGAGAAGATCTCATTTGTCCCCAGCAGGAACAAACAAAACTGTATCCTGTAGTATTCAGGATTTAGGTATCTGAGACTTCATAATGGATAGATTTAAAGTGAGAGTATTCTCTCTTTGATCCATTAAGCTTACTAAAATTTTAAAAGTCTCAGCTTACAATTTCAAGTAGTTATCACTAGAATCGCTATTCTATGTAGTTCTGTGTAGGCTATTCAGAGCAGTTATCAGTAGAATCAGTGTTTATGACACCCATGCAGTACCCTGGCTCGTTATAGGGCAGTTATTATTTTGATCTTATTTTCACAGAGAAAGGAAACCATGAAAGCATCTGAGAGTCACAAGATTTACCTCTTCTGCCAAGAAAAGAGGGAAAGAATACAGACCCATTTTCTGTTCTGCCGTAAGTATCTCTGCTCTCCAGGAGAGGGAAAGCAGTTACAGCAAGAGTACAGAAAGAAGGAAGACTTTCCAGAAAGAAAAGAAACCAACCCTGCCTCTTTTAATTTTAGAGCTAGTGTTGAAATGTCTACATCTTAAAAAGATCTGCAGCAAGAAAATCCAGAAACACAGGCAGGCAGATCCACATTTCTGGCCAGATGCAAGCTAACTGCAGTTCACAACCCCTGGTAGTGCACCACCACGGCACTCTGCCCAGTTTAATGTGCTCCCCAAAATAATTCCTGGACGAAGTGTAATTGGTTGCATCCACTGCTACGCTAATGGCTCAACGACTTCTTGAGGCTAGTTGGCTCACATCTAGCTAGAATAAGTCTTGTCTATTTGCAGTCCTCCCATGTACATCTCAGATGAACTGTCAAGAAGTTCAGACATTTAGTAGTAGCTGCATTCCAAAAAGAAGGGAAAGAAAACAAACTATTAGCTGCCAGAAACACCTGGTGCTGACAGACAATCTAAGCAATTCAAATCTACATTCTGGAGAAAAGTCACAGCAACTTACCATGATGGCTCCATTATCCTGGCCTACAAATATTCGTCTGCTGTCATGATGATAAGCCATGGCTGAACATGGTGCTGTCAAAAAAAGCAAGCACATTACAGTTATTGAAACAGAGGTATTAGGACACACATGACTTTCATTAAAACCAATTCTTTCACTCAGGACAAAAGCTGTTTAAGATTAAGTAGCCTGACAGAAATTAGTCTGCATAGATAACGTCTCTTGGTACACCAGTTAAATTCCCATTTGTGAAGCTAAGGAAAGGTACACTACTACAGTAACTGAGAGACTGCCAGGAACCATTTGCAAACATGAATTCCTGCCACAAGGTGCAACTCAGTAAGAGGAATTTTACCTAGGCTGAAAGCAGCAATACATGTGCAGCTGGTTACACTTAAGAACTTGAGCTCATTAAAATAATCTCAAATGGAGCCCCAAGTTGTACACAAGAACAATATTCTGTTCTTTACATTTGAGGACTGTATTATTAGAGAGAGTAAAGTGACAGACAGAAATATGTAATTGCAGGTCAACTTCGTATGGAATCATGTCAATATCTGTAACTTTATGGAGACACTTGTTTTTGAGATTACAGTCTCTTTTAGTAGAAAGCCTCTAAAGACCTACTTCCCTTTTTGAAATTAGGAGCCAAAACAGATGTGAAA